GGGTTTGATCCCTGATACTGCGTGCCATGCCAGCCCTGCACTGAGTCAGCCACTGAAACCAGGTTTGGTGGTGCAAGCCTGTAGTCCCAATGCTGGGGAGAATGGGACAGGAGGATCACTCCAAGTCCAAGCTGCATAGTGAGACCCTGTACCAAATAAATAAATGAATTTTTAAAAATTAAAAACAGTGACCTCAGCAGCAGAGGACTTTAACAATCAAGTGGATAAGATGACCCACTCTGTAGATAGTGGTCAGCTTTCTTCATCCATCCTTGTCATTGCCCAATGGCCATGGTGGCAGGGATGGAGGGTATGCATGAGCTCAGCAACACAGACTCCTACTCACCAAGGCTGATCTTACAGTCACTGCTGATGCCCAATATGCCAGCAACAGACCAACACTGAGTCCCTGATATGGTACCATTCCCTGGGGTGATCAACCTGTGACCTGGAGATAGGTTGATTATATTGGGCCACTTCCATCATGGAAGGGACTTTACTTTGTCCTCAATGACTCAGACACATTCTGGATATGGATTTGGCTTCCCTGCACATAATGCTTCTGCCAAAACTATCATCTGTGGACTCACAGGATGCCTTATCCACTGTCACGGAATTCCAAGTAGCATTTCCTCTGACTAAGGAAAACATTTTATGGCCCAAGAAAGGAGGCAGTGGGCTCGTGCTCATGGAGTTCACTGGTCTTACCGTATTCCTCACCATCCAGAGGTGGCTGGATTGATAGAAAGGTAGAACAGTCTTTTGAAGACACAGTCCTGCACCATCTAGGTGGTAGATGCTTTCAGGGCTGTGGCAAAGTTCTTCAAAGGGTTGTACTTGCCTTGAGTCAGTGTTCATTCTATAGTACTCCCTCACCCAACACCAGGATTCACAGGTCCAGGAGGCAAGGGGTGGAAGTGGGAATGGTAGCAGTCACATTACCCCATTGAGCCACTGGCAAAGCTTCTGTATCTGTGACTTTGTGTTCTGCTGGCTGAGAAGTCTTAGTTTCAGAGAGGGGAAGGCTTCTATCAGGGACCACAACAACAATACCACTGATGGAAGCTAAGACTTGCCCCTGGTCATTTTTTGGTCTCCTCATGCCTCTGAGGAAACAAGCTAAAAGGAGAGTCACAGTGTTCTCAGGGGTGGTTGACCCAGACTACCAAGGGAGAAGTTGGACTATTAATCCACAATGGAGGAAAGGAAGAATATACTTGGAGTGCAAGAGATCCCTTAGGGTGCCTCCTAGCATTACCATGCTGTGTTATTAGTCAGTGAGGGGGCTGGTGAGATAGCTCAGCAGACTAAAGGGCCTGTTTAGGCAAACATAGGGACCACGGTTTGATCCCTGGCATCACATGCCATGCCAGCCCCGCCCCCAGGGCAGGCTGAGCCAGCCAGAGTCTGGACATAGTGGTGCACGCCTGTAATCCCAGCGCTGGGGGGCTGAAAGCAGGAGGATCACTATGAGTCTGAGCTGTGTAGTGAGACCCTGCAACAACCACATATATTAAACAAAGTCGGTGGGAAGCTACAACAACCTAATCCAGGCAGAAGGACAAATGGTCCAGAGCCTTCAGGAATGAAGGCATGGGTCACTACACCAGGGAAACAACCAAGGCCAGCTGACATGCTTGCTGAAGGCCAAAGGAATACAGACAGCGTAGGAGAAGGAAGGTAGTTCTACATACTAGCTACATCAGTTACAGAAACAAAGATTCCAATTGTAATATTTCTCTCCTCATATGATTCTAATGTAAAGATAATGTTGATAGGCTTAATAAAATGATAGGCTTAATGAATGTTAAGAGTAAGTACCACCCAAAGTTGGCTTCCTGTTTCTAGGGAGGGAATCAGTGTGTTTCCATTTGTACTCAGGGTAGTTACAACACGTTAGGTGTGATTATGGCTTGTCTTTGTATCTGGACTCTGGTTTAAGGAAATGTGTGTAGTTGTCAAGTTGACAAGGGGTGGATTGTGATGGCTGATTGACTGTGAGCATGAGAAGCTCAACTAAATTCGCTCAGCAGTTTCACACTGAAAACCCAGCCTGGGGTGCCCTGTCACCCGACACTATACTAAGGAAATGAAAGAAGGACAGATCTGCTTCTGTTTCTTCAGAGGAGTTCCAGTCTTGGCCTTCACCTTCGACGTCATTTCCTGGCTTCCAGCACAGACCCTTCAGCCCCTGGCACCGATCCTTCAGCTTTCCAGTGCAGGCCGCAGGCCTCCTGACAGGGACAGTGAACTCCAAGCCTCTGACTGCATCCTGAACCTCTCCAGTGTGCAGACTCTGGGGGTGGCCACTGCAGGCCAATATTGTAAATTCTTACATATACATCTGCATATCTTGTATTGTATATGTTTCTTTAGTAAACCTTGCTTTATAAAACTTCACCTTAGAAAACAGTATACCCCGACAAAGTTGTGGTTCAGAGGTTGGGGTGGTAGTGGTTCAGATTTTTCCTTAGACCCTAAGGCTGTACATTTAATGATTTCTCTCTCTCTCTTTTTTTTTATTTTAGGGAAGGGTCTACTTTTTTTATTTTAGGTGTTCAGGGTCTCAGTGCTAGATCGGACTCCTAGTGATCCACCTGGTTACAGCCTCCCAAGAGCTGGGATTACAGGTGAACCCACCACCACGCCCAGTCTCAACTGCCTTCTCAGCATGCCCTGGGGCAGGGCCGTCACAGCAGGCCCAGGGGATCGAACCCCCGGCCCCTGTGCCTGCTTGCAGATGCTTTAATCCGCTGAGCTATTTGGCTGGCCCAATAATTTCTCTTGAAACCCCTATCATGTCACAGAAAGGGCAACTATCCTCTGCAACCAATTTTTTGGTGGGAGGTTTGCAAGTAGTCTATGCGAGAGCATCATTCAGTTCTTGCTGCTTGCGGCCCTGTAACCTATCTTTGGCAGATGAACGGCATTCTTTTTTTTATTTTTATTTTTATTTTGCAGAACCAGGGATTGAACTCAGGCCCTTGCGCTTGCCGGGAAAGCGCTTATTCCACTGAGCCAGCTCCCCGGCCCTTGCATGGGCATTCTTGCCTTGTCACAGCTTGCTGCCCCACATGCAGCTGTCTTAACCGTTCTTGTTAATTCCCTACAATGCCACCAAAATACCCTGCACCTTCTAAGGCTTTACTAATACAGTATTTTATTAAACTATATACTTGTGGGAGATAATTTTTAGGGTTTAAACTATAAAAACTAGGCACTTAAAGGGATTTTTCTGACGATATCTGAAATTTATGGTTCCTCATAATTGGAGGGTGCTCTAAGAATATAACTCCTGTGAATTTGGAGGGTCCGCAGTAGTCAAAAGTCTACATTTTAAATTTTCCTAGGAAAACAGTTGTAGTGTTTATTATTCTCTAGAAACAAAACCCAGAGCTGCCCCTCCCTTCTGGAGCCAGAGCCCAGCAGACTCAGCCTCAGCCCTGCCCGGTGTTGTGTTCATGAGCGCTTTTTCACTTCATCTCTTATTTCCTTCTATATTTAGAACGGGGCTGGGGCATATAAGATCATAACTCTGCTGTCTTATCTTTGGCTTAGCTTTGTGTTAATTAAAAAGTTGTGTATTTATTTGCAGCCAGATTTACTAATTAAACTCATATATATAT